TCATGGTGGCACATGTGTCTATATTAAAAAAATTCAATACCACACAAAAGAATTGACACACTCCGAGTATGAGTAAACTCGAGGCAACAATCATCGAAATTTTCATTCAAAATTCGCCCTCCCTTGTAATGATCTCTGCCTATCTTCCACCAGGTGGAAATGGAAATTTACCTGTGGTTGATTTTAATTTAAACAAATTGCTCACCTTTTCCAACAATCTAATCATAGCTGGTGATTTAAATTGTCACCATCAGCATTGGCGTTGCCATAGATCAAACCCTGCTGGTCGTGGCCTTCTAAAATGGGCTCAGTGCGCCCAAATTAAAATTATTGCGCCGGATTCCCCTACTAGATATGGTTCACGGGGTGCCCCTTCATTCATTCGATTTGGCACTCTTTCGAAACATCCCTTTTGGATATCACGTGACTGTTGGAAAACTGTTGTTTATCCTCAGATCACAACCCCGTAATCATAGACCTTAACTGTACTATCTTTAATCAAAATTCTCCGGCACTCGTCTCTACAAACTGGGACAATTTTAGTTTCAAACTTAAAAGTAAAAAGTTTGCCCTCCCTTGAAATTAAATCCAGCCATGATATAGACTCGGCAGTTGATCACTTAACGACCATTTTAACAGATACTTATAAGGAAGTATCAAAACCCACCCCCTCAGACCCAATTTTCGTAAATTACCTCAAGAAATTAAACTCAAAATTAAAGAAAAGAAAAGAATAAAGTACGGAGACTTTGGCAAAGAAAGAAATAGAAATCCTGGTTTAAAAATTCAACTCCGTGCTCTCCAAAATGAGATCAAGGCATCATGTGACCATTTCTTCCAATCACAATACACGAATTACATTCAGTCCCTAACGACCAATGATAACAGTCTTTGGCGCGCATCAGCCCGCCTACGCAAAACACAAATCTAACATTCCGTCCTTAGCTACGGACGCAGTGGTGGCTCACACAGACGCTGAGAAATCCGAATTAATTGCGGATTCTCTTCAAACTCAATTTACACCACATAATGAAGGAATTTTTGCGAACAGCGCAAGTTCTTTCCCACAAGATGTTGAACGTTTTCCTCTCCTCGCCTTTGCGAGAGAAATACAATATACATCCATGAGCGAGGTAAGTGAATACATTACCAAGCTCAAACCCAAAAAAGCCCCTGGTATGGACTCTATTTCTAATCGTATGATTAAAAATTTACCCACCAATTATCTATTTTTCTTAGTAATGCTTATAAATTTTATGATACAGCATTGCTATTTTTCCTCAAAGCTGGAAACAAGCACTTATTGTGCCTATTCCAAAACCCAGGCCAAAGCCTTTCTAATCCTCAAAATTATAGACCTATCAGCCTCCTATCCTCGTTATCTAAGATATACGAAGTTTGTGTTACTTAAACGCCTGAATGATTTTCTCCGAAATCACAACGTTCTGATTGATGAACAATTTGGATTTCGAGCAAAACACTGCACCACGCACCAGCTGCTGAGGACAGTGGAGTTCATTCACGAAGGGTTTCGTAACAAAATGCTTACTGGCGCTTTATTTCTTGACATAGCCAAAGCATTTGATAGGACTTGGCATATAGGAATTATTATCAAGCTCATACGACTTGACGTTTCGGCCCATTTAATTCATATATAATTAATTCGTACCTCACTAATAGATCTTTTTCTGTACGAGTTAATTCTTTCATTTCGACACCCCGTCCTATACTAAGCGGCGTCCCCCAAGGGTCACTTTTAGGCCCAATTTTGTTCAACATTTTCATAAATGACATACCAAAATCACCAAGTATCACTCTTGCACTTTATGCAGATGATACGGCCATCCTAGCTCAACACAAACGCCTGGAAAACTTGGTCCAAAACATTCAGAGTTATCTCTCTAGCCTTGAGCACTGGCTCATCACTTGGAAAATAAAAATTAATGTTGCTAAATGTGCTGCTATGATATTCAAACGTAGCCCCCTCCCGTACCCTTCCATTAATATTAAATTCTTTGATGACTATGTTCCCTGGTCAAACTCTTACAAGTACCTAGGAGTTGTACTTGATTCAAAATTAACCTGGCGCCTTCACATTGAAAATGTTCTCAACAAAGCGAAAGGTGCCAGAGCCCAACTTTACCCATTTTTAGCTCGAAAGAGCAATCTGTCAATTAAAAACAAAATCCTTCTCTATACATCCATTATAAGACCTGTCTTTATGTATGCATGTACAATCTGGGGTACTGCTGCAAAAACTCATGTGAAAAAACTTCAATCTTTTCAAAGTAAAACCTTACGTATGGCCCTCCCTAAACGCAGCTGGTACGTCCGTACAGATGTGATTCATTCGGACCTTAACATTAAACCTGTTGATTACCTTATCAAAAAACTTAGTCAAAATTTATTCCTCAAAATTGAACAGATTGATAACCGAGCACTTCAGCAGATGCCAGCATACGATCCTGCTATTCGCAGCTCACAGAAGAGACCGAGAGCCGTGATTGGCCGAGAGTTCGGCATCTACCCTCCATCTAAAAGGGCAAGACACGCCCTCTCAACATCAGTTCCAGCTCCCGCGCCATGAAGGAAGGACGTCTCTTCAGCGAGCTGCCATATAATTGCTTATTACCATCTCTACTGCAATCAAGATCTTCAAGCAAAGTTATCAATCTGTTTCGCATAGAATCACATCTCCCGCAGATTTTTTAAAATCTGCCTAATGAATATTTTCAACGCGTTTCATATTATTATTTGCACTATCCTAACACAAGCCACATGCCAATGAGCCTATTAATCTTAAAATCTTTCCTATCCCGCTTTTGCTTTAGTGTTTGTACTGTGTATAAAAAAATTATAAAAACCAAAAAAAGTATAAAATATAAAATACAAAAAAAAAAAAATTATTTTAAAAACCTAAAAACTTTTAAAAAAAAATTATGATACTTAAGTTTTTATTATCTCATCTCTATCCCTAAACTTTCTGAGCCTGTGGCTCCCTCTAGTGTGCATCAAGTAAATCACTTATGCAAAATTTTTTCTCATTTCTGCTCGCTTTTAGTAATTCTGATGTGGAGGTAAATGGTTTTGAACCATAGGAACTCCGTAATTTTTAAATCATTGGCATTGGCAGTGGGTAAGGAATGTTTTGCAGGTCGAACAAATGTCACGCCGAGCTCGGAGTGGTCGGCTTCTGTTGTCACCGATGATTTGGTAAGGAAAGTGATGAGCAATCGAGACAGACGCTTCACATGACAACTCTCAGAGGCATTTCCACAAATTTCACGTACTGTTTTGTCGAAATTGTGTCTGACCCCTTGAATTATCGCAAACTGTGTTCCCGATGGGTTCCAAAATGCTCACTGATGTTCACAAAACAAAGCGACTTGGTAGTGCCCTGACCTTTCTCACGCGGTTACAGTGATGAGGGAGAAAACGTTTTTTAACCAAATTTGACCAGGTGATGAAACTTGGGTGTGTCATTTCACACCAGAATCGAAACAACAATCGATGGAGTGGGACACACTCATTCTCCGAAAAAAACAAAAGTTCAAAGTGACAATGTCATCACAAAAAATCATGTGCACTGTCTTCTGGGATAGGAAAGGCGTTTTGCTTACTGAATTTCTTCCCAGAGGTGAAACCATTAATGGCGGCACGATATTGTGAGACTTAAAAAAACTAAGGCGTGCCATTCAAAACAAACGAAGAGGAATGCTCAGTAAAGGAATTGTGTTGCTTCCATGACAATGCTCGGCCCCATACTGCTGGTGTCACTCAATCGTTAATTCGAACAGTTTCATTGGGAGCAGTTCGATCACCCGCCGTACAGCCGGGACACTTGGCGCCGTCCGACTATCACTTGTTCCTGCACATGAAGCGCGAGCTTGGTGGCAAGCGCTTTGGATCTGACGATGACACGAAAAATGCTGTGGGAGTCGTGGTTATCGAAACTGGGAAGTTTCTTTGATGATGGTATACAAAAAATGGTCACCCGCTATGACAAGTGTTGATCATTGGCGGAAACTATGTTGAAAAATAGTTTTAAGACATGTATTTTCATGTAAAAATAAAATTGGATTCGAAAAAATTGTTTTACTATTTTTTTTTTTTTTCTAAACGGTACTTAGTTTCCGAATACGCCTCGTATTAAACTTTAACTTTTCTGCAAATGTAACATTGTTCTGGTGTGACAGATTTTACGAACGTCAGGAGTATTTTCTTTATTTTCCTGTCCACAAAAATTTTCCAACTTCCTAATCGTCCACTGTATCCATGTGCCCAATGACTCTAAAAAGTTGAAGTTTCTTGCAAATCGTTCTTCTCACTGGTGAACGTTTTATAGTACTAACGTTTTTATGTTTTTTAATCTTTCATAGAACCTGCGATTCCATAATGTTAGCTTAGATTGTGGTCCATATTTCAGCGCAATTCCTAGAGTTCCACTCGCTTGTCATCGTTTTATAACAAAAAAGATAGTTATATGTTCACATGAAGGATTTTTTGGTTATTTCGTACACTTTTACAATCTTTGAAAAAATGAATTATTATTAAATTTTAAGAGAATTTGTCGTTAATTTCTGGCTATTTGCCATATTCACTTCGGATATGGAACTGTTGACGTGTTTTGCTAAACAATTAATAATTTGCAAATTCAGACGATAGCTCTTGTGATGCATCCTCATTTAAAACAAACTATTATAAAAAGAAACATCGTCTGCCAAAAAACCTCAACAAATTTTGGAGCGTCCGTGTTATTTATGTGAGTTACTTATTAATATTTTTTGAACGAATTATTTTACTATAAGGAATATTTCGCTGATTTATTTTACAACAAGCAAAGCTTCAAATAGAGAAAAAATAATATACTATATAAACATTTGAAATCTCTGTTTTAATATTTATTATAAGTTCTCTGCATATAAATTTCAAAAAGAGAAGTGTCCGAAAACAAATGGGAGCCACTATACAGATATTTCAAATTATAAAATCATGCTTACTTTTATTATGCTCGGAGTAATTGTCGAACATGGAGACACCACTGTTTTAAGACATCGTTCGTGGACAACAAAGTTGCAAACTGAAAGTAAAAAAGGAAAGAAATTAGTTCAATATCTTAAAATTCAGCTGTGACTAATTAAAAAAATATTTGTAAAGGAGTACTCTTATTAAAATTCCTTTTCAAGTAATTTTAGAAAAAACTATTTGTAGTTTCTCACACAAGAAAAATAACATTTTCATCAAAAATGAATTGAAAGGTTTTTCTGCGTAATTAACTCGTAGCGTTTTAAACATAGTCTACGAAACGCATTCATTTAATTACCTCTTTGCGTTTATTATAATGAAAGAAATTTACCACTATTAAAACTTATTCTAAGTCGCTTCATTATTATCTAACATTCAATTCTCTAACTATTATTCTCCCTTATTCTATTCTATACCTATTATTCTATTCTTGATCGATTATTCTATTAAGAGGGCTAATACACCTTAAACCCCTCATGATCTTCAAATATGTGACTGTTGCAAGAATTGGGATATTTTATTTATTTTAAAAGCACTTACTTCCAACCTTAACAAATGACTCCAAATAAGCTGCTTTTGGAACTAGTAAACCAGAAAGTTGTGTTGCCACAAATATTTTTGTAATTTTTCTTCTTTGTGACAAAATACTTCCTCATGTTTCCACCTTGCGCCTGATATTTTAAAATGGCTAATGGTACTTCAGTTTGAAATGGGATGAAATCTTTTATGGGCACTATTTTCTCACTGAACCAAAGTATATAAATATTTTAATCCGAAAAATTTTATGGACGAAAACATTACAATTGTGTAATAAAATACATTTTATCCTAAACTCCAAATAACAATAAAATTTACAAGAAAGTTTTAGAATTTAGGTTTACAGTAGTTTCAAATGTTATAAAGCTATATATTAAATATGAATTAATTATGCACGAATATTTTAACGTTCGCGCAAGGTGGAAACTGCGAAAATGTTCTCGCAAAGCGGATTAAATTATAAAAATATTTGTGGCAACACAACTTTCTGATACTATTTCAGAAAGCAGCTACATTATGTAGTCAGCTGTAAAACGTTGGAAGTAATTCTTTTAAAATAATAAGTTATCTCAATTCTTGCAACAGTCACCTACTCGAAGATCTTATGGGTTTTAAAGTATATGAGTCCCCCTTTATTCTATTATTTTTATTTATTTGTATTTATCTATTATCTTTATCTATTCTTTATTTATTATCTATTATTTTTATCTATTGTTTATTAATATATTATCTTTATCTATTATCTAGTAATCTTTATTTATTTATTTATTCTTAATTTTTTGCCCGCTAGCACCGAGTGGTAAACTTTCTGATCAGCGGTAGTTCGGTCTGAGGTTCCAAACCCGCGAACGGGCTGGCTGCTTGGACGTTTTCATTGTTTTCCTATGTGTAACATATATACGAGCCAGTTCACCTTAGAACGTCCGCCACGGAGTATTCCCTTCCCTTAGGCAGATAGCCCTCGAGGCTTTGTCGTAACCACATAAAACAAAATTATCTTTCTTTATTTATATATTATTCTATTATTCTTTATCTATTTGTTTAGTATTCTTTATCTATTAATCTTTATATATTTATGTGTTATTCTATTATGCTTTATCTGTGTTTATTATTCTATTATTTTATCTATTTATATATTATTCTATTATTTTTTTACTAGCTGTTTCGCGGCCAGCCTCCATCTTGCTTTTAAATGTCCGGGAAAATGCCTAAAAGGAACACCATACATTAAATTTAAAAACTGCGCAGAATTTTACTCTGCAGAACTTTATCAAAAAAAAAAAAAAAAAACTGAAAGGTTTCAGATTTTAAATTACATCCAAAGGGGCGTTTCTTTAACGTTTTGTGACGTAAAGGTAACACACAAACGTTAAAGAAATTTATGATGTTCTTCGCACTTAAATCATAAAATTCAATGCAACGGCAATATCGCAAAACAATTTTAAAATGAGCATAGCATTAGAACTTCCGATACACAGTTCAGCGCGCTGGAGATAAGAGTTTTTTTTTTCCCGATCGCCAAATCTTGGTGGTGGAGAATCATCATCCACCAACCTTTTAGTTCGGTTGTCACTATAGAGACATTAGGTCATTTCGAAACAGGAGACATGAAAAATGACTAGTGCCTTGGCCGGGACACTAACCTTAGACTTCTCGAATACGCGCCGAGTGTGCTGGCCATTACACCACGAAGGCATGCCAAGAAGCTGGGATAAATACCTTATACACTCCCCTTTTTAAAGGGCGACTGGGGTTGTAGGGGTCCCAATCGCCAAATTCTGGGTGTGGAGAATCATCATGCACCGAAATGCCGTCGCATGGACCTCCGACCTATGGTTCTACACCAATCAGATTTATGTCCATGCGACGGAAAAGAATTTACCATCCACCGCCGGCGGCATTCATTAAATTAATAATAGTAATATTACAATGCTAAATTGGCAATGTTATCTTTACAATAATTGTTACATAATAATCCGCATGAAAAATAAATATGCAATCAATTAATCACCCTTTTAGTTCTTATAGAGACATTAGGATTCTTTTGAAAGCAGTAAAGATGAAAAATGCGCAACCGCCTTCGCCGGGAATCTAACCGCGGAACTTTGGAATACGCACCCAGCGTGCAGATCACCACACCACGAAGGCATTCCAAGAAGGCGGGAGAAATACCTTACATACTACCCCTTTTAAAGGGTGACTGGGTGTTTTTAGAGGACCCAATCGCCAAATCCTGGGTGGCGAGAATAATCATCCACCACCGTTTTAGTTCGGGCGCCAATGTAGATACATTAGGTTAATTGGAAGCAGGAGAGATGAAACATGAGCAACGCGTTCGTTGGAAATCGAACCGCAGACCTCTGGAATACTCGCCCAACGTTCAGACCGCCACACCACGAAGGCATGCCAAGGAGGCGGGAGAAATGCCTTATAGATTAACCATATTTTTTTGGCAGTGGTCACGACAGCCAATCAGACGATAAAAACAGGCAGACAGTTGAAATATCGGAGACGATCTCATAGGTGCACTTCTGCTGCGATCGTCGGACGACACTTGACTTTTACGGAACAGACCCTCGTTCGATCTCCTAAGGTCATTTACAACTTTCAAGGACACTAGGACCACGTAGTGCTGTATTTCCCAACTGTTCTTTTTTGCATAACTTATAGCTTTTGCCTTCATTGAAATGCTGTTATTTGAATAATAACGGGTTCCTACTTTCATTGTAAAACGATTTTCCAACTGAGCGACTTTGTATGCAGGAAAGCCAACCCTCTGAATTTCCTCCTCCATAAGTTACCGTACCTTTGCAGGTAAGCGTTTTATAAGTATCTGAATTAATTGTACTTATTGTCTCAGTGGTTATATTATTCAGTAACTGAATTATGAATATGGCATAGAGCTATTTATGTTCACAACAGCCAGATACTTTAGATATAGATTTTTTATTAGGAAAAATAGGTAAAAATAAGGACACCATAAAATTAATAAAGCCAGAGGTCCAAAAATTGCGAGCATTATTCAAGTCGTTCAAGAAAAAGAAAACTTTGTAATTTTCACAACAAAATACAATCGAAGAACAGCACAGACATAACAATCTTTTAAAGGAATCAGTTAATACAAAGGTCAACGAGAGCTTGGAGGAGAATTTTGGTTATTTGGAAGATATTGCTTATTTTAGAGATAGACTACATAAGCAAGATTGCTTGAAATTAAATAAAAGTGAATCTGAAAAAGCTCAGGAATCTATTTCTCGATCTTCAGTCACTAGGTTTTACACACCAGGAGGTCTTGAATGAACATCATTCTTTGACAAAAGAAAATTTAAGTTTAACTTTAGAACATAATCAACTGGAACAGTTGTTGGTTGATTTTCAGCAACAGGAGGACGAGCGACAACAAGCTGCCTTTAAGGTGGTCTCGGTGTCTACAGGGGATCCTTGCTTTAAGACTATGGATAAAAAATGACAAATTTTTGACATTGGCATACAAACAGAGCAGTTTCACTCTTTCTTGTAGTAGATTCGGTAACTTCTTCGGCTGATATGAATCTGCAGACGGATATATTGGGTAAAAAGTATAAATATGTACAAACAACCTCTGTTTCTTCTGAATCACATCCTCCTCCTGTTCGTTCTGGTGAATTGGTCTATGGTCCAGCTAAGTAGGGATCTAATATAGTAGGAAAGGACTCAAAGACAGACAACATTTTGATAGTTTCTTCAGCAGATAAAAATTTCCAATCTTTGTGCGAAGAATTGACATCTATGGTTGATCCTATAAAACAGGCAATTCAGATACCTCTTCTGCGTCCGACTAGATCCAGTGATTTACTTATTTCTTGCTTAAATTCGAAGCAGTGCCACAGATTGCAAAATACTCTTTTTACAAAGTTCAAGGGGGAGTAGTTTATTTTTTCAAATTGTTAATTAATTTCCAAATGGGTTGGGGAAGGTCTGACCATTTCTGAAGCACTGAAAGTGCTACACGAATTGCTTTCAGATAGTGAAACTGATAGGGATCCCAGCACATGTGCAAAACATGCAATATTGGGTTGTGCTTTTTTTAAACGTGGTTTCACTTCCTTCGAAAATACCACCATGAAAAAAATAAACGAAAGTGTAAATATGAAATGGAAATAATGTAAATATTATATACTCAAGTTAATTTTTTTCCATCCGTACGCATGTAATCATCATATAACCAGAAAGAGCTTTTTTATGGGTTGTAGAGTAGCAGGCCTCCCCGTGGCACACCCGAGTAATGCTAAATCTGCTACGGTATTCACAATCTAGTGTTTTTTAATCGTAGGCAAAATCTCCTACTCCTTTTACGCGCTTCCCAGCAATGCTCGTTTCAGCACTCTTTTCGAAGCTCTATTCATTCAGTGTGCACCCTTCGGGAACACCCACAGAGTTAAAACTATAATCGCTATCTTCACAAAATTATACCTGTGTACTCCTCTAGGCCTTAATAGACTGCTTACCGTTTTTTTTTGTCGAAATTCCAACTTTAAG